AGAGAAACAGTTAGGAAAATCTTAACTGAAGATCTAGGCCTGAGAAAGGTGGTGCAAAAATGGCCCCCAGGGAGCTCACTGATAATGCTGTCTGTAAAGGAGTTTTTTTTTTTGTTTTTTGTTTTTTTTTGAGACAGAGCCTCAAGCTATCCCCCTGGGTAGAATGCTGTAGCATCACAGCTCACAGCAACCTCCAACTCCTGGGTTCAAGCAATTGTCCTCCCTCCACTTCCCAAGTAGCTGGGACTACAGGTGCCCGCCACAACGCCCAGCTATTTTTTGGTTGCAGCCGTCGTTGTTGTTTGGCGGCCGGGGTTGGATTTGGACCGCCAGCTCAGGTGTATGTGGCTGGCGCCTTAGCTGCTTGAGCCACAGGCGCCGAGCCTGTGAAGGAGTTTTTAGCCAATAAACAAACAATTGTATTGGAACACCCTCCCTAATCACCTGATGTGGCTCCCAGTGACTTTTTTCTTTACATCAGAATAAAGGAAAGACATTTTGATGACATTCAAGACATCAAGGGTAACACGAGAGCAGCTCTGATGGCCATTTCAGAAAAAAAGTCCCAGAATTGCTTTGAAGCGGGGGACTAGGCCTTGATGTATAGCTTCCCAAAGGGAGTACTTCGAAGTGATATTGATATCAGCAGCAGGGTATGTAGCACTTTTTTGGGACAGTTTCATGAATTTAATTGTCAGCCTACATACATATGGATTCACAGAGGAAGGACTTTGTCTGCTTCATTCACCACTGGCCTTGAATGATGCCTGGCTCACCTAGTGGGTATTCAGTAAATATTTGTTGAACAAGTGGGAAATTTTCACTTCCTCCTATTATGTCAAATACCAGGTATTTCTCAGAAGTTGTAGTACTTATTTAGGAACTTAATCAGTAAAGAATTAGTAATTGCTGATTAAAGACAAATTTAGCTTTTTTGCCAAAAATGGAAATAGCATAACATTTTTGTTTAAGACTGGAACCAGAAGACTTGAGTTTGAATTCCGGTTGTGTGGTGTTAAGGTTTTCCTCTTTAAGTGTCAGGTTCTTCATCTGTAGTGTGTGGTTTACAGCATTACTCTTAACCTTGTAGGGGTGTTGTGATGGTTAAATGTGCATGGTAAGTGACAAGGCCTGGTAAATAGCTCACAAAGAGTATTAGTAGAGATTGGAATAAGCTATGAAGCATTATTAAAAATGTGATTTATAAATGTATTCACCTAGAATTTAACTCTCCTATTGTAATTTTAAAAAGCATTCATCCTGTACTGTGTACTTATCCTTTAATTCATATAGAAGCACCAGTGTTAAGAATATGAGCTGTAGAATCAGACCCAGTATCAGGTCCTAGCTCTGCCGCTTACTAACTGCATGACATGGGGGAAGTGAGTAGCCTTGCTACCTCTCAGTTTCCTTTGCTGTAAAATACTACCTATGTCATAGGGTTGTCATAAAGATCAAATAAAACAGTGCACATGAGGTATAGTATGGTGGTAGTATTGATCCCTATCTTTGAATGAAGTATTAACATTTTTTTACTTTTACCCTAAATTGGTATGTGATTATCAGTGATAATTATCAAAACTGGATAAGTATTATGACAGTGACCTATCTTCTACTATTCTCTGATGGTGCCACTTTCTTCTTTCATAATTATTTTTCTCTTAATAAAAAATCTACACTGACATTTTAGAAATCAGCCAAGCAACAAGAATTTTTGGTTTCCTTTTTAGCATCTATTAATGTAAGTAGATATTGATTCACAAATAAAAGTGTAAAGAATCAAAATCCCACTAAACATATCCAGGACATAATTGCTAAACATCTCAGCATTAGGTTACTGTTTTTTTACAATTAGTGATTACCATAGACCCTTCGATCTCATGCTACTGTTAAAAGTCTTATACTTCCTAAGTGTTGTCAGTCTATGATTTACCTTTTAATAACATGGATTGTAAACTAAAGCTTTCTTACTATAGTACATGAAAGTGCTCTCTGGTGGAAGGAAATGAATTAATTTAGATGTAGAAGTTATCTGTAGATAACTAAGAGTTATCTTAAACTCATTAGAAGCTGAATTGATTACATGAAATTCATTTATTCAGAAATTAGGTACTGGCAATGTTGTATGACTGATTTTCACATTAGAAAAATTATAGCTGATCTACTTGAAATAATCCCATCATAAAATCTTGAGTTTTCCTATGTGTATTTTCCTTTCTTTTTTTTTTTTTTTGAGACAGTCTTGCTTTGCAGAGGCATCATCACAATTTACTGCAGCCTCACTCTTGCCTCAGTTTCCCAAGTAGCTGGGACTGCAGGCACCCGCCACAACGTCTGGCTGATTTTTCTATTTTTAATAAAAACAGAGTCTCAATCTTCCTCAGGCTGTCTCCTCGAACTCCTGAGCTCAAATGATCCTCCTGACTCAGCCTCCCAGCCTGCTCGTACTACAGGCCTGAGCCACAGCACCTGGCCTTGTATATTGCTTTTAATACAAGTTCTAGAATACTTCTATTTTATTAGGTGTTTATCTGCATATTGTTACTTCTGTTCTTAAAGAATAAAAGATATTCCTCTCCCAGTATAAAAATACATATGCACAGGTTATTCACTGTGGCATTATTGTAGTTGCCAATTATTAGAAATGACGCAGTTCTAACATACCTTTACTGTTTCATTCCTGTGCTTTTTTAGTTCGCTTTTTTCACCTCTTTAGCTGGAAATATTATTTATCTATTTTTGCTATTTTACTTTTAAGAGTATTTTGTTATTTTACTGTTAAGAGTTTGTATTTCTCCTTTTACAACGTTGTTTAATGGAAGAATTTTAAATTTCCAGGTAGAAGGGCCATCTGTCTTTTTATTTTATTAATTATTTGTAATAGTTATTTTTTCTGAAATTTATTGATGTTTTCTTTGTGTCCTTATTAACACATGATAATTTTCTTCATATATTTCATATGCACTTGAGGAAGTATGTGTATTTCTGTTATCAGGCCGTGAGATTCCAAATGACCCATTTATCAATTGCATACCTTGTATCTTCTGTATCCTCACCATTCTTGTCCACTTGACCTGTCATGTACCAAAGGTAACTTGTTAAAGTTTCCTATTGTTGGTGTGTTTCTGTGCCTCCCTGTGTCTTTATAAAAGTCATTATCATTTTTTTTGTACATAGATATTCACAACTATTTTATCTACTACAGGCGCCTGCCACAACACCTGGCTACATTTTGTTGCAGTTTGGCCGGGACCAGGTTCGAACCCACTACCCTCAGTATATGGGGCCGGCGCCCTACTCACTGAGCCACAGCTGCCACCCTGAAAAATCTTTCTTAATGTAAATAAATGCTGGAGGTATTTACAGCTAATATAAAATAATTATAACAAAAATATTCCCCTTTTTTGACTTCATTAATTAAAATAGATTTTTGTGGTTGTAAGATGTTTTTCAATGCTCTTAGGGACCCCAGATGATTCTATAAAAATCTAAACTACAGGGTAGCGCCTGTGGCTCAGTGGGTAGGGTACTGGCCCCATATACCAAGGGTGGCGGGTTCAAACCCAGCCCCCGGGCAAACTGCAACAAAAAAATAGCTGGGCACTGTGGCAGGTGCCTGTGGTCCCAGCTACTCAGGAGGCTGAGGCAAGAGAATCTCCTAAGCACAAGAGCTGGAGGTTGCTGTGAGCTGTGACACCATGGCACTCTACCGAGGGCAATAAAGTGAAACCCTGTCTCAAAAAAAAAAAAAATCTAAATTACATAAATCGTATATTTAACATATAAGTTATGTTCATATTATGACTTTTCTGAGAAAATAATGGGAAACTTAAAAAAAATTACTGGATTTGTTACTTAGTTCAATGTACACATTTCACATTGTATATCGAAGCAGTATCCTGAACTCCATAAATGCATCAGTGTACAAAGTTATGATTTAATAAAAAATAATAAAGAAAATTACCATCTTCCTGGAAACCTTGATTTTATTTTTAATTGAAATATATCCTGCTCACAGTTTTATCTTCTTTGTTTTATACATAATTTTGGTATATGTATTCTGAGGTGGCATAGAAAATGTTTCCCTTGCATGTCCAGTAGACTCTGGAAAATAGTTTAAAATTGTAAGAAGCATTTATAAAATGTTGTTTCACCAAGAAGGAAATAATACCAGCTACTTCTTTGCCCCCTCAGGCTGCTTTGACTCTTCCACGAAGACCTTTCCTTCACTGTTCTACTGTGATACCCATCGTGGTTCTGAGCCTGAAGTTCACTATGTACCTTTTCAAGCTCAAAGACTCTTGGTGCTTTCTTCCCTGGATGTTGTTTATATCCTGGACCTCACACCATATCCGAGATGGGATTCGTCATGGCTTATGGATATGCCCATTTGGAAAAACTTCTCCTCTGCCTTTCTGGCTTTATGTAATAATCACATCATCTTTACCTCACATGTGTTCATTTGTGATGTATTTAACAGGGACCAGACAAATGATGTCTTCAAAACATGGAATTCGTATTGATGTCTGATGTAACCATACAGGAGTCTTAGAGATGCAAATGGTTTAGATGATAATAATTTAGGATAGCCAACATTAAAACATAGGTAGGTATTTATATTGTTTAATTGTTATAATTCCTGAATTCTCTTCAGGAGGCATGTCCAAGTTTTTAAAAATTGTATTTGTTGGGGCAGCGCCTGTGGCTCAGTGAGTAGGGTGCCAGCCCCATATACTGAGGGTGGCAAGTTCAAACCCAGCCCTGGCCAAA